TTAGTTGTTTCAGTACATCAAGTTAAACTAAATGAGAAATGAAAAATGTTGCCTTGGAAACTAGCTGAAATAAAATAAGTTTAACCCTTTGGTGCGCTTTAGTTATTTTTGACTGAAAATTGTACGATTTTTTTTTTTTACTTTATCAGAACGGTAAAGCTTTTGGAATTTGCTATGTAAATACAAGAAAAAAAATCGTAGACATGATTTAAAAAGGTTAAATGATCCTGAAAAAAAATAGTCGCCTCGTGGTGGAAAATGACTGCATTGGAAATGAGTTTCATCTAGTGGAAGCGTTTGGTACTGCAGCCAAACTCAAAGCTCATTTTTTGTGATATCAACCTTAAATTCGGAGCACAACTTGTTTAGATTTACGGCTTTGATTTTCTCACAGTTTTAAAGTAACACATGTTTTGGAAAACATATTTCATATAAAATTTGTACATTGTTTTTGTGCATTTTTTATAACAATAAACAAACTTTTATACATTTTCTATAGTTTCACTTTTTAAACTTTTTTTTTCATTTTAGCAATAATCGGCCAAGTGTCGTCTTTAAAAAAGCATTCAGGATTTATGACAGTTTAAGTTGGAAATTTAATTTTCATGTTACTCAAAAAGCAATTAACAAGTAATAAATAGATTGCAAATACTGCATAAATATAACTTAGTACCATAAAATCCCTTACAAATACTAAATATTAATATATAAAATATAGTACATCCATTTCATGGAAGTATAAAAATAGTAATTTTTGACCACCACGCGACAAGTTTTTTATATTTTATTTCAGTTAGCATTTAGTTTATTTGAAGTAACAAATTTTTTTTTTTTTATGGTTTTAGTTCATTTTTAGTATTTTTTCTCAGTAACTTCCAGTGTTTAACTATTTTCCAAGGTTTTCTTGATTAGTTGAACTACTATAAATCACCTGTGAGAGGCTGAGTGTTTTGTCGGATCTCCTCACGATCCGCTTCTCCTCGAGAGTCTCCAGATGTTTTTTATTCACTCTCGTGAAGTCTGATCCTGCGCTGAAGCTCTTTAACCTCTTAGCTGTCACCCCCCATTTTCAGCATGACACACAAATGACATACCCAAAATAAAAAGGTTGCTGCTCATGAATCTTTCTTACTAGATACAGAATCAACATATGTTCACAAAGCTGATACTTCAAAGGCTACTGTTCAGGAATCAGAATTAATCTGACTGTTATGATAATAGAGATATATAAACTCAAACATAAAAACAAAAATACAAATATATATATATTTTTTAAATGTATAAAAAAATATGTTGCTGTGGTAAATGCTTTTAGAAACACAATGAAGCTAAAGCCACAAGTCTACTAATGCTTCATTTGAAATTTCAGGACATAATCTCTTAAACTGTGAATTTTATGAAACATTTTCTAAGACCATGTCATGTGTGTTTTTAGAGAAGGCTAGTAAAAGGCTACTAAGATTGATTATGATTATGATTGATTTATGGCTCTTCTCAGTGCAGGAGCTGAAGTCACGTCTCGATCCATGTGATCGAACACGTTTCTAGCCCACTTCTGCTCTGGATCTGACTTTAATTCTCTCAACTGTTGTTTCTAATTTCCTCATGAGTTTTTTGAGCTCATGTTGACTTTGAGTACCGTCATTCAGAACGATGAAGAGATTTTCATTTTGCTGGTGTATTTTGGTCTGTTTCGCTTCTAAAATATATATATATATATACAGTGGGTACAGAAAGTATTCAGACCCCCTTAAATTTTTCACTCTTTGTTATATTGCAGCCATTTGCTAAAATCATTTAAGTTAATTTTTTTTCCTCATTAATGTACACACAGCACCCCATATTGACAGAAAAACACAGAATTGTTGACATTTTTGCAGATTTATTAAAAAAGAAAAACTGAAATATCACATGATCCTAAGTATTCAGACCCTTTGCTGTGACACTCAAATATTTAACTCAGGTGCTGTCCATTTCTTCTGAGCATCCTTGAGATGGTTCTACACCTTCATTTGAGTCAAGCTGTGTTTGATTATACTGATTGGACTTGATTAGAAAAGCCACACACCTGTCTATATAAGACATTACCGCTCACAGTGCATGTCAGAGCAAATGAGAATCATGAGGTCAAAGGAACTGCCTGAAGAGCTCAGAGACAGAATTGTGGCAAAGCACAGATCTATATACACCTCACTACGTGTACTGCGTTAGGCTAACCGAGACTTGTCATTTGCACTTATATATTATTGCTCTTTTGTTAGTTTTGACTGCTTCTATTGTCCTCATTTGTAAGTCGCTTTGGATAAAAGCATCTGCTAAATGACTAAATGTAAATGTAAATATCACGTCTTCTCTCAGTCTAGTGGACAAAAAACATCCAAAATACAGTATTTCACTTTATCTATACGCATCTGTAGATTTAAATCTCGATCCATATCTTTAGAGTTTTTCTCTTACAGACACCAAACATTAGAGTTTTATTCCTCTCTATATTCTGAAGGTTTGTTCATATTTCATTCACACTGATTTATACAACATTTTACTCCTAAAAACATGGTGAAAATGTGTTTGTTTTCTGTCTGTCGACAGTATGTTCTGATTTATGGAGTGATGAAAAGAGAAATCCACAATCCCCTCTAAAATCTCTTCATGTTAAATGCTGTTAAAAATGATGATGAAAGTAGAATTGAATTTAGTAGTCTTATGTATTATATGGAGCCAGTTTTAATGCGTAATGCTTAATATTGGAAACAATCAAATGAATTAAGTAATTATCTCACCTTTAGGGACTGAAGACAAGAGGTTTGCTAATTTTAATACGTCTTTTAAGAACATTCTTTTCAAGAATTCTGAATTTTGTCTTCACACAGTTTTAAGAAAAAATTTTTTTTTTTTTTAAAGAATACAAGATATTCTTAACTTATTTTCTTAAGTTAGAAAATACAATTCTGGAAGTTTGTTTCCACCATGAAACAAAAAAATCTCAATT